TGGATCAGGATGATATTCCTCATTATGTTGAATGGACCACATGGGGATGACCACTGCATCTCCTTTTTTGAATTGCAGTCCATTGATTTCGCAAGACTTCGTACATTCTCGGTCGATTCTGGAGAGAAAAAAAAATCGGCGATTTCTTGATTTCCTCATGATTTTTCATGCATGATTGAACAATAAACTTGCATTGAGTCTAGGGGATAAATCCGGAGAACCTCGCTCAAAACTTGATCCATATAGGGGCATTCTTGAATCGCCTCGTGATTTAAACCATTCTGTGGAAAAAGCAATGATAAATTTGAAATTCAAGCGAAAGCTATGGAGGATGTTCACAGGGTCTAGATTATTCTGCATATAAAATGCATCCTTTTGAAACCTTGTCAAGTTAATGGAATTGTTCCCCTTTTTATTCTTTGTGACTGCATGTTATTCAAAGGCTTGTTCATAACTTTTAAACTTTATACTGATAAGTCGATGTAAAAGCATGAAAAAAATCGAAGATTCAATTTTAGAGCAAAAAGAGAAGACATTCTTCGGAAATGGATGAAAAGGGTACACCCACAAATTATTGAACAGCAGGGAAAAAAATCCTTCTGAAATTGATCGAAAACTGAAAATCAGACGTTTCATTTCCAAAATTCGATCATGTCTAATTTGCATCACATTTCGAGATCGATTCACCTTGCTGGGTGTCAATTTTTCGTCGATTTGGAATGATTTATTCTTTGATGAAGTTTTTTTTTCATCAGGAATCTTCTTTGCAGTACAACTCACGTATTTCTTGGCCACTGATTTCACTTCTTTGTGAAGCTTTTCTTGGCACTCGGGATACAATGCCAAGTAATGTCCAGCCATCGCAAGTTGAGTTCCAACAGTGTCATAACCTGCTGCGAAAAATGTGACGCATTGCGAAATGAGAACTTCTTCGTCCAAGACGGATTTCGCATTCGGATCTTTGGCCCTGTTTGCCTTTTCTGCGGCAGCTTCTTCAAGAAGAACGTCGAGAAAGTCACCACGCTTGCCAGTCTGAAATTCAGAGTGCAAAAAAGCACTGGTTTTTAACCACAAGGCAGTGGTTAATCTTTTACTCAATTAATTAATTTTTTTACTGGTGTGATGCAGTATTTTATTTGTCCCTGAAAATTTGCCATGTATGCTTAAAAAAAAAAATCGTAATTGTCAGGGACTCTAAAGTCCAGCGAAAAAGAAATTTTGAAGAGTCACTTTAGAAAAAAAAGGAAACAGAATGTTAGACCATTTTTGGCTGAGACAAAGTCTCCAAGAACAAATGTATCTATAGCAGGTTTCACAGTCTTTCTGGTAAACAATTTTCACTCTCAAAATCACCAGATCCCCAACACCAGCAAAATGGATGAGGAAATCAAGTTAGTTTGTCTTGTTTTGAGAGGCTGCAATTTTTTAGATTGTTATCTTGAGGACTTGCTTTGAGCTGGTTCTTTGGGTTGTTAGTGTGCGAAATTTGTTTGGCGGCAAAGGACGCCGCCGCGAGAAAAAGAGGGGTCCGTTGACTTGAAATTTAATCGGCACATCTTGGGATGTGCCAAAAAAGACGAGAGCAAGAAAAGTTGGCGCCCCAAAAAATTGGGGCAACAGAAAACCAAAAAATCCTGAAAAGGAATAGAATAGAAGGAAAAATAATCCCCGGAACCGGGGCAATTCGAGCTGCTTGTAAAATCTGCGCACTCGTAAAATAAGGGAGACGTCTCCCTCAGCAAAAACTTCGAAACTCAGGGACAAACGAGAATTATTGCCAGCTGCTGGCGAAAAACAAGCAGAAACAGATCTTCTTTCCAAAAAGCAATTTATCTCTAAACTGCAAACTGTCCAAAATTGCCTCGACTTCCCCCAGAAAAATCCACTCCTGGGAAGAGTATTTTTCTGCCGAAATCACTGCAAGATAATAAACTAAAAACACCCGGTTACCGGGAGAAAAAACCATGTACAAATATTACAAAAACAGCACTAAAACCCACTGTTAAGATAATAAAATTGCACCCAAAAACCAGGGAAAACTATGTTCAAAAAACAATGCAAAAGTCGTTGACAGCTGCCAACATCTGGCCAGTTTGTTGACTTTGAAAATCCCAGCACCTGGGTGTTTTCGAACCAAAAAATTCGCACCAAAACGGGGGAGGAAAGTTGCATAAAAACCCCCCGAATTTTGCGCAGCACTACTAGTCGAACTTTGAAGGAGCTGCGGATAATCTTTGTACAATTTGAAATTCGAAAATCGCGGACTTGTCCAAAATTTTGGGAACCTTTGCAGACTTACAACATTTCGGGAATTGTGTGAACCCTTTTGAAAACTTTGGAACCTTTGAAACGTTTTGCAAAATTCTAGTGAAGTGCTTTTTATAATCTTAACTATAATTTCAAAACTATTCTGAACCTGAAGCGCTAAAAAAGGGGCGTATCTGCCTTCCTTTATTCTTTTTATACTTGTGAAAGGCTTGGTGTAGATATTATTTCTTCCAACTGCTGGAACTCTTTTTGCTTTAATCTTTTCAATTGTGTACCAAAGAAAGTTTACGCGGATTAATTTATTAGTCCGAACTCTGTCAATATTCTTTTGAAAACTGTTTATAGTGTGTGTGTTTGTGTATTTTGTGTATGCCAAAGTTTTTCCTGAGCCCAGTCCTGGGTACTGTTAAATTCTAATTTCTGCGAAAACTTGAAAGTGTATGACATTGTTACACTTGTATTAACCTGTGAAGAGAAAAGAAAAGGTCAGCACTAGTGGGGAAATAGTTCCCCGGTCGGTTTGCGCACCGGCCAAGTACTGTGTTTCAATTCTACGCCTGATTAATTGTTCAACAAGGTTTATTTCAGCAAACTCCACCAATTCTTTACAGGTGTAAGGCTTGTAAAATTCCAACCACACAAAATAAAACCTTACAGTTAGGTAAAGTTCAATGGTAGAAAGTTTCCCAAATGGAGCTGTTTTGTGTATGGGTGCATTTGGGAAATCTCTTTTTTACCCTTGATGACATTATCCTTGAATTGCTTCAAAGCAATTCATTTCTGTCAATATATCAAAAGGAGTCATTTTAATCCAAAGAAAGGCGATGCTCTGGGTCTCTGCGATAAGCAGAGAGTAAATTTCCAGGAGTTTCTTTGTTTTTGCTCACTATAAAGTTCAAGAGCAAAATACAGATGGTACCTTACAATTAGACCATAATCCATTGCTAGACTAGGGTCAAATTGCAAGACACTTTGTAAACTAGAGAAACATCAGCACAAAAATGCAAAATAGCAGCCAAAGCAGGTCAAATTGTGGGGCAAGGTGAGTCAACCTACCTGCAAATTAGACCGTCAAATTGCAGCAAGTCAAATTGCAAGGTAATACATGTATTTGGGTGTGATGCAGATAAGACGCTCTTTTGGTCATAAGGACAGGATTTTTTTCAGAAAATACATTTTACTTATATTATTTCAAATCCTCACAAAGACTTCCAAATAAACTCCGAAGGGACATTTTTCCAAGAGTTAAACCCTACAGAAGAAATAAAAAGATTATTCACAGCATCACTCATGAATCCGTTCTTTGTGCACAAAAAGTTTTCCTCTTATATTTTGGCTCTTGAATTCTTCTTAGACGTGGACATTTTCAAATCACCTATAAATTCTACACAGAATCACAGAGAATAACTCACAGAACCGTCAGCTTTCCTCAATTTTATGACCTCTTCTACAGTCTTGACAAAGAACTCGATTGAATCTCGGCTTATTAAGCTCTTCAATTCTTCTTGGACGTGAAAAATTTCAAATCACTTGTAAATTCTACAGAGAATCACAGAAAATAACTCACAGAACCGTCAGCTTTCCTCGATTTTATGACCTCTTCTACAGTCTTGACAAAGAACTCGATTGAATCTCGGCTTATAAAAGCCTCAAGCCCAAAAATCTGCGTCCACGGGAAAAGGTCTGTGAATATATGCGAAATATAGACATTTTCTGATAATTTTTTGGCACAATCCCTACCTGGGATGAGACTCCAAGCACTGTCGAACAAAGGCGGTCGAAAAGCTTTGGCGCTGTTGACTGCAAATGGGTTATTGGGGTCGTCCAAGTTGTCCAACTTTGTCCCAAAAGCACATCTTGCAATCACATCCAGAGTTACTTTGCCAAAAAAACTGCAAAGATTTCCAGATTCAATGTTTATGCTTTTCCAGATTTTTAAAACTAATTATATTATTATTTTTGTGTCTGTAACTATTAACTAATGCCTGTATAGAAGGTCTTGTTGCAAATTTTTTAGTTCTATTTTTAGCAAGTCAGTTTGAAAACTCGAATTCTCGTCCTTGGGGACAAAATCTACTTTCTCTGAGAACCTCAGAAGACCTTGGTTCTCACATTGCTTACAGAAGCCTCCAAGGCTACATTTATCCACAAATCCTGTTGCTAATTCTTGTCCTTGAAGGACTGCTTTCCTGTTTTGGAAAACCACAAGATTTAACACAGTCTGTCTCAAGCATTTGTGTGTGCAACTTCTCTGAGATTTTGCGAGTTTTCAGTGATCATCAATCACTTTCTATGAATATACCAACTTAGAACAGGGTGAACTCACCCCAGTTGCAGCCCGACCAAATCACTGCATTTCATTTCCAAATCAACTCTTTTCAAACATTCCAAAACCTATTCTAATTTAAAATCTTTAATTGTTGGGATTTATTCCTGACAGGTCTTGCGTAATTTTCTGAAAGAAGCCTTGAAAAAGGCTCTTGGGCATTTGAAAATTTTAAATTTATAATACTGCGCAGTACATGTGGTACCTTACAATTTGACCTCCCACAATTCAACCATTTTGATATTGATGGCCCAATTTGCAGGAGTTGCAATTTGACCTTTGCCCGCAATTTGACCTGCTCTTGCCATTTGTTTCACATATTTGCATTGATGTTTTTGAATTTCAGAAAGTGTCTTGCAATTTGACTGCTTTGCAATTTTACCCAAGTTTGGCAATAGATTTGGGTCAAATTTCAAGGTACCGCCTGTTTTCAATAAAATGAGAAAGTCTGTCCCTTTTTTCTGAGAAGGTTACAGATGAGCTTGTTATTTGCAAAGCACATTTTTTTCTCATATGGTGAGAGCATTTTCCAGTCAAGTCCTTGTCAAANGACTTTATAATAATATTTTCTACAACACTTTTCTGTGTACTGTAAAAAATTATTTTGTCCCATAATGTTCTCTTGCCATTTGCTATATGGGGTTCTCTACAAGAAAATTCTCTCTGCAGCAAATTTTTCTGGTCCCTTGAATTTTGTTGTAGACAGAGTGTATATTCATGAAATTTTAAAAATACGTTTTGCGATTTATAAATTTAGTAAAATCGGGTCTTGGTCAACAAATGTCCATGTCATCATAACCTAGAGCTTTTTTTTTAACTTTGTGAGTGATTATTTTCCAGATTTTGCATTACTTTTTTTTCAAAATACAAATATATATACTTATAATCTTTTAAAATGTATAAAAATGAAAAAAATCATAAATTGAAATGAAACTAATCGCTCTCCTTTTGATTTTGCTGAAAGTAAGTTTCAATTAGTTATTTGTTCCAAATAATTTTCAGAAATAAGTAAATTGTTGATGTTTCCATACACGGTTTCTGCACTGTCTTATGAACACTTATAGAATATTGTAAAATAATTTACTTCTTCAGCTCAATGATTCCAAGTCCTTCGGCGATATTTTGTGCACTTTCAACCATTCTGTCGCAGCATTCCACCATGATAGGTGACATCTGCAAATATAAATCGCAAATTTATTCAGTGGAAAATGATGCAAAAACTTTCGGGGCTCCAGAAAAGTTGAGAGCGTCTCAAGGCAACAGGGGTATACAACAAATGGAAGAAAAAATGTGGATAAATTGAATAGTAAATGCGACACACACAAGTCCAAGGAGTGCTTTAATTCATGGAATTTCTTATTGAATTCATAGGCATGTAGTTATGTGATTTTGTTCCGGTGACGAGCTTGATCTCAAGGCACAACTGCAAAATAGACTCGAAATTTAGAATCCTGCGCTTTTTCTCCAAGACATGTTTGTCAAATATTCGTTTAATTTAATTCTGTACATTTTTGAGGCATTGTTTTAGTGAAAAACGATCCAGAACTTGATTAGCAGCGGATTAATTTCACCATATCGCGTTAAACCCCGTGTAGAATGTAAATCAAACCATTTTTGTTACAATTGAAAAAAAACGCCGTTCTCTACAGGCAAAAAATACGCTGTCTTATTTATCGAAGTTTCAAACTTCCAAGGCACTGGAGACATTTATTAGGTTTTTTTTCTGCGCTGAAAAATACTTCGAACAAGAGCTGTTTTAAGCTTCAGGCGATTTTTGCACGCGCTCAATTTTGTGTTCGCTCCTTTTTCTCATACATTTCGGGTCTATACTAACCTTCTTGATTTTCCCGCTTGAAAAAGCTGGAGTAACAGAGCTTCTTACATCTTTCCAATCTTGGCCACTTATGACGAAGAGGAATTTTCGAATGTATTTCACCTGATCGAAACCCGCTGAAAATTGCTGCCAAATAAGATAGCTCTTTATTATTTTTTCTCACAGAATTTCATTCATGAAAATGGTTCGATTTCTTTATTTTTCTACCTGGTGGTCGGCGAAACAGTCGAACTTTTTCACAAATATTTCCTTGATGACCTCAGGATCACTGACGTAAAGCAATGGAGCTTTTCCATCGTACATTCTAAAAATCAGGAAAAATTAATTTTTTCAGTTAGATAGCGCTAATGTGGGAAAAATACTCAATTGCCACTCACCCAAAAAATGTACCATATTTTCGCACGTTTTCCTCTTGCCACTTTCGGGTGTCCTGTGCGAAATTAAATTGTGAAGCTCTCTTTAAAAATTTGATTAACAAATTAGTGTCTAGAAACCAACCTTGTTCCAAATCCCCCAAAGGTTGCCAACGATCGGGTAAATCGGTTTGACTGTTGGTATCCCTCTTTTAGCGAAAAAGTCGTATCCGGAATACAAATACTTGTAGAACCAAATTACGAATACGGTGAACAAAATTATCCACAGGGGGACTTCTAATCCCAAAATCTCCATGATTTAAGGTTTGGTTCTCCTGACATTAAAAAAATATTTTTGCATCATAAACAACGTAATGCCTCGGTTAATAATGGTCCAGCAAGTCAGTTTCAGTGATAGATCCACAAATGAATATGGCACGAATTCATCTTATACGGAAAACCTTATATCTCTAAAAAATCCTGAATTTTCCAATCCAACATAATTTCAAGTATGTGTTCGTCATTTTCAATAATATTTTGAAATTAATACACGGGTTGAGATGAAGTTTTACGTGAAGACATTCAGATTACTCATAAGATTTATTTCAACAAAAAAGTCTTCAATTTGTTTGATTATATACAGTAGTATATTTATTGCACGTCCCAGCTTTTATTTTTTAAAATTTTCGCTGAATACCGCTAATACTTTTAAAGATAATATCTAGAGTACTTAAAAAAAACTTCTCGCACTTGTTCACTCCAGCACCAGTAACAGCAAATTTCCCATTTGAACTTTTATTCTTAAAATTCTTTTTTAATTCCCTGAATCCACATTAGAAAAAATAAAATACTGAAAATG